CGTCCAACCATCAAGTATTTAGTATCATTCAACGCAGAATCATTGATAATTATGTTAAATTTTTAAAATTAGCAAGATTGGATAAAAAGAAAAAAAATTAGAGCAAAAAAAAATGTTTGTTCAAGAGAAAACTTTGAAGCCCCATAATTATTTTTTCTTTTGATCCAATCTTTCTGATTTAAAAAATTTAACATAATTATTAATGATTCTGCGTTGAATGATACTAAATACTTGATGGTTGGACGCTCCTATCCCCACCCATTCATAATCGGCTACGACATATACATAAAATTAAGGAAAGCAAATTAATACAACAATTTTTAAATCTCAAAATGACCACCATTTGCAGAGAAGCATTTCGAGTTGAGTTCTTTGCCGTTCGTTTAAGTTCTTTGCCGCTTCTCGGGTTCGTTTAAGATGTTGAATAACTTTGCGTCGCTAGTGCGTGGTAGCTGTATTAGAATGTCCTCTTTCAACCCGGTTGTCGTTGTTTCCCGTCTCTTTGTAACGTTTGATGGCTTTTGAAACGACCGAGTGAACCTATTTCAAAAGATCGACAATCTCCATCACTCGTTTTCCTTTCTCAAGCAATCGAATTATGGCCGAGCGCAAATCCTTTTTGCTTTTCATATCTAATAACAGAGCGTTTAATAACAGTTAAAAGCAAATGAAAAAAAAAGAAAAACAACACGAAACAGCTGATTGCAAAGTTCGTTCCATAATTTGTGGTTTATGTAGTTTGTAGTTTACCCTGTAGTTTATGTTCCAAAAGCTCTTATGCCGATTGCGGAGCTGAAGCTGCTGACTTCACTAGTTAGCCTGTGCTCAGCTCGTACTTAAACAAATCTAGACCCAAGTCTAGTTTTGTCGTCCAGCATAACTTTACGGGGATCCCCAGCTTTCTCTATATCTGCCTGCAAACTAAAAATCCAAACTATTACGCTGTTTAGAAAGTCTTTTCGTTCTTTTTCATACTTTCCAACCAAAAAATTTATAAAACCAACAAATGCACCAATTGAAATACGGTTTGTTTCATTCAAAAGAAGGGGTTCTTGTTTTTACACTAAAGAACGCAATCGCAGCCTTCCAGACAAATAAAGCGCATAAATTAATACAAAATCTGGAACCAGCATTCTTGAAAACCCTATCATACAAATTTCCGGCTTTCTAGGCAAATATAGTTCTGGCTAATATAGCCATCCGAAAAACTAATCAAGCTAAGAATGGCTTTGTCGTGAATGCGTTAAAGAAAGATTTCTGAGTCAGCATTATCTTCAAGCTTTGAAATAGGTTCAAATGTGAAAAGGGTCGTTAGAGTGTTCTAAAACAAACAGGCAAACACGCAAAAATCCGAATAATTTGCACCTTTCGAACAAGTGATTGCCGTTTTAACAGAAACCATAAAGAATATAGACACTTCAATATAGACACTTGAACATGGACATTCTTGAAAGAATATAGACACATAAACGCCCGGTTTCTAACAAAAATCGAACTTTGTTACGGAATTTTTAAGGCAAATTCAAAAAAAATGATAATATTTTGCAACCAAAAATGACGAATTGGTACAGCAAGAACCTAGTAAAAATCTTTACAGAAAAAAGCTGCACATTCTTCGCGATCAGGTCACTGGGTTCCCTTTTGCTATTTCCCGTCTTTCCGTGAATTTTTCCGGTGATACCAAAGTCGAAAAATAAACATTTTCTTGTTGTCTTCTCTTAACTCTTTTAGTCCAACACCTTTTGAAAATGTGTTTTAAACTTTTTGAAGTTCAAACTAGATAAAATTCAAGAAAAATAAGATTAAAAAATTAATACAAAATCTGGAATCAGCATTCTTGAAAACCCTATCATACAAATTTCGGGCTTTCTAGGCTAATATATTGGGTTGGTGAATTGAAAACTGCCGGCTATTGTCATATGTGACAGTTTGAGCACTTTCTTCAAAAGAAACCCATTTTGGTGTCAATGGAAAAGTTGTAGAGAATCAAAAATTAGGCTTATATCCAGATTTTCAGAACGATTCAAAAACTGGTTTTCAAGAAATGCCAAATTTACGAATTTTCACAAAACTTGCAACAAATCTTGCATTTTAAGCGAAACCACTAAGTGTATCTTTTTGGAAATTTGGCTATAAGCCTAATTTTTGATTCTCTACAGCTTTTCCATTGACACCAAAATGGGTTTCTTTTGAAGAAAGTGCTCAAACTGGGTGACAGCTGACATCTCCAGTCCTCGATTTTTGAGTCTCACACTTGTCTCACACACAAACCAAAATCCTACTACGAAAGAGGAATCCGCAAATTGCCTGTAAAATGGGCAGAAGTCGTCAATAATAATGGAAATTATTTGGAATGAATTCATGGTTTTATTTTCAATAAATTTTAGTTCAAAGTCCCGCAGTTTTCAATTCAACAACCTAATGTTTCGTCGACGTCTGAAAGACTAGTCAAGCTAAGAATGGCTTTGTCGTGAATGTGTTAAAGAAAGATTTCTGAGTCATCATTATCTTCAAGCTCGAAGTTTAATAGAGAAAATTCTCAGATGCACGTTTCAGAAAAGCGGGCCAGACTCGTCAATTTTGTGGGAAAATTCAAAGACTCAAAAAAGACTCGAAAAAAGAAAGGGAAAAGTTAATTATTTCGATACATAAGGAAAAAATTTATTGACAGATCTATGAGTTTTTTGTGTTGTTATTCTTGATTCGAATTTGAAAAGAATTCACTACATAAAATGGTAGGAAGAAAGTTCAGAAAGCAAAAGAATTGAAAAAGTCTCAATTTCCTATGTTAGACTTGTTAATTTCAAATATTTTAGGAAGGGATTATGTTGAAAAATAGTTTCAAATTAGAGCTTTAAGTTTCAGTAACTGAATTTCAGTTCCTATTGCATATTTCAGATCAATTTCGTGATCAAATGCTCCACTTAGATACCGTAAATACTGTAATAGTACCCCAACCCCCTCGTACAGTGGCGTAGTCGCAAAAGTTTTTTAGGATTTCATTTTTTCAAAGCGCCCGTACTTTCAGAAAATGCGTCTTTGGTATCAAAAAATAGCCCTGAATTTCAGCTATTTTTTGATACCTAAGCGCGCATTGTAGCATAAACCAGTGTCGAGAAAAACGCGTCCAAAGCTAGACAACGCAACACTCCGCACCGTCATTATGGGGCTGGGGTACTATTACAGTATTTACGGTAGGTAAATCCTAAAGCTTAATACTGACGGATAAATTAGATTTTGAATCCTTATTACTATCTTGCATAACATTTAAATAGACCAAATCTAGTGGCTAATTAAAACTGGATTCAAAATTGTATCGAAATTAGACTTTCCAGACAGCCTAATTCTGGTTCAGATATGGCCAATATTGTGAATAACCATATTGAACATATCTGAACCTTCCCCAATCCGATAAAGATATTTACGAGATATAACTCTTGCTTCAAATTCTAATTCTGAAACAATCCAAAGCAGCAGACAAATTGCAGATATCTTCAATCAAAGTTTCTGTAAACGGAGACACGGAACTTAAGATCTTCTCGCGTAAATGATCTTTTAGTTTTGGAGAATCAAAAGAAAAAATTAATGGGGCTGCGTTTTTGCAGATCTCATCAGGGAATTCAAAGCTTTGGCCTTTTCCTTTCTTTTCACGGAATAATTCTTTAGATGACCCGTTGGATCAGAAAAGAAGAGACAAAAACCAGGAACTCCGGGGAAAGATAAAGCATCGGAAATCACCATCATCTCAAACTTTTTTGTTTTTTGCAATGCTAAAATTGGGTACTTCTCTCGAATTATCGATTTTAACGGTGAAGTGATGGCAAGCCTATTTAAGGAGAATTCGAGTCAGTGCAGTTTTCTTGAAAGATCAGTTCAGAGTACGACTCAAGGGCTTAAGGGCTTAAGGGCTTAAGGGCTTAAGGGCCCAAGGGCTTAAGGGCTTAAGGGCTTAAGGACCCAAGGGCTCAAGGACTACAAGAGAAAGGCACCGAATCAAGCTGGCTTTTTGACCAAATCCATCTTATAGAGTCGCTCATGGGATCTCGAATTCGTTTTTAGTTTTTGCAAAATTTAGATATCTCGCAAACGCGAGATATCTAAATTTCGAAGAAGTTTAGACGTTTCCGGGCGGTGTTTCTTTTATGGCCGGTTTATTGTTTAGTGTTCTTGATTTTCACTGTGTCGCGATGAGGGTTTTTGTCAAGTTTGTCAAACCAAGCCTTCCTTCTTCATCAAATCAATTTTGGTCACTCCCTCACTTGATCACTTTCAGATGTTGATGAGCTCGGCGTCAGTTCTCGTTGGAAACATTATGTTATATCTGATTGAAATTTTGATGAGCTATTTTATTGGATCGAATGCATTGATTCTGCTGTTGGTTTTTGCTGATCTCATGCGATATAACCAAACCAAATTCGGATCCAAATGGGTAGTCTCGTCTATGGCGCAAGCTCATATAAAGCGTATAGGCTTCTCCTCCTACATCGTCTCCTACATCGTCTCATCCTCACAAATGATAGAATGTTCCCTAGGTCTTAATGTGTAAATTGCGTAAATTGTGATTATTATGTGTGTGCAAAATAAATCACCGGTGACCCCAGTATACATTAATCGGAAGAAAGGAAATAAAAAAAACATAATACCATTTACAATTCTAGTAAATTGAATAGTTTGAGCAGAGAAATAGCAGATTTAAACGAGTTTAGAGATGAAAGATTGCGAATTTCATTGAGGAGAGAACGTAACTACTCAATTTGTAAAAAAAACTTTCACAACTTTGAAACGAAATAGGATTTTGGAAGACGATTCTGGAAGTCCTTCTGGAAGCTTCCTCTTTTTCGAAACTTTCTTCTGTTAAATCCGAGGCAATGGATTTAACAGAAGAAAGTTCCGAAAAAGAGGATTAAGATGAATCTCTTGACAAACGATGGCAAAATTTATTTGAAAGCACCAAGCAATGATAGATCAAACAGTCAAAGAAAGGAAATCGTCAAAAGTTAAGCAGTTTTATAAAGTGAATCACAAAGACTCTTTAGTAAGTTGCAAATTTTCGATCTAGCCGTCGAGTTCTTTGAGTCCAAATATTTCTCTCTGAACTGTTCCAATTTTGTCAATTTTTGAGCATCAAATCGATTTGTTTGATTTCTCTTGATATCCTTTTCCAAGAAGTCGATGATTCGAATGATTGGATCAGTGGAGTTGGGTGATTTTAGAGCTAAAGCAGTTTTGATTTGATAAGCTAAAGCAGTTTTTATTGTGTTGTTCTTTTTACACAAAAAGTCTTCAACTTTCAAAAGTTACACTGAGCAACTAATTCGTACCGTTATTCAGAAGTCTATCATTTTCTAACTGCGCAAGACTGAACTAGACTGAAATCAAAGCAAACTTTACACTTAAAATTGAAAAGAAAAAGATTTAAATTATCTACTATGTATAAAAGAGAACTATCCGTCTGTCTGTCTGTCCAGACGTCTGTCTATCTGTCTGTCCACTCGGAATTTGTAAATTTTTATAAAAATATCTAATCTGGAGTGCACTAAAGCTTAGAGAGTCATTTTCATTGGGTTTTTCTTATTTCTAGTGATTTCGCATTATATACGTCGTAGCCGCTAACGAAATTCAGCCGCTAACGAATGATTCGTTAACGGCCAGCCGCTAACGAATGACATTTTTCGCTAGCCGTTTACGAATTATTCGTTAGCGGCTAGCCGTTAACGAATCATTCGTTAGCGGCTGAATTTCGTTAGCGGCTACGACATATATTAGGTTGGCAACTTAATAATGACGCGTCACTACTTAGCATGTTTTTTGTAATTTCAAGCGCCGTTTCTTCCCTCTTTTTTGCATATATACAAAGTAAAAGATGTCTACATAAATAACATTTAGTGCTCCAAATTTCATCATTTGCTTTTTGGCAAAAAATGGAGGACAAAAAATTCCGTATTTGAGCTGCATTGTTCTACGATTTTAAACAAGGAAAATCACCAGCTGAATCTCATCGCACGATCATCACTGTTTTTGGGGAGGAAAGTATAAACATTCGGCAATGTCAACGATGGTTTCAAAGATTCCAAGGCGGCGATGAAAGCCTCGTAGACGAGCCACACCAAGGACATCCTCCAGAAGTGGTCGACGATGACTTGCTCGCCTTAATTGAAGATTGCCCAACACTCACCGTTCGTGAGTAGGCAGAAATATTTGAAGTATCCCATACGACAATCAAAAACTATTTACACAAACTTGGGAAAGAATCGAGTTGGAAAATGGGCTCCTCACGAGCTGACCCAGAGCAACAAAATGTCGCCTCAATTTTGCTACAAAAATACAAATCAAACGACTTTTTCACAGGGTTTTGACTTCTGACGAAACGTGGATCAACTACGAGAACGTTAAACGCAAAATCGATGGCTATCTGCTGGGCAGACCCCTCAAACCACTCCCAAACCTGATGTCCATGGGAAGAAGATAATGCTCTGTTGCTGGTGGAACTTCAAGGGATTGGTACATTATGAAGTGCTGAAACCTGGCCAAACCGTCGATGCTGATCTTATTCGAAGCAATTAATGAGAGTTAACGAGTCTTTGAAGAATTGGGGCTCAAACCGGAGAGAGTCAGATTTTTACACGACAACGCAAACCTCACACTGCAAAGATCACTTATAAGAAAATCGAGGAACTTGGCTGGAAAGTTTTGCCCCACGCGTCTTATTCACCTGATCTGGCTCCTTCAGATTACTTTTTGTTTCGGTCGGTGAAGCACTTTTTGGAGGGAGAAAAGTTCGACGATCATGGGCAGGTCATAAAAGCAGTGAATGACTACTTCGCCTCAAAAACTCCCAAGTTCTTCGAGGATGGGATCCGGGATTTGCGCAGAAGATGGGAAGAAGTCATAGATACTAATGGAGAATACCTTTCGAATTGAAAGCTCTTCTTTTGTGTTTTCTTGAAATAAATGATTTGTTATATAAACGCGTCATTATTAAGTTGCCAACCTAATATATTGCTTCTCCCAACTCTATCTGCATGAAGCTAAAGAAGCTAAAGAAGCTAAAGAAGCTAAAGAAACTAAAGAAGCTAAAGAAGCTAAAGAAGCTAAAGAAGCTAAAGGAGCTAAAGAAGCTAAAGAAGCTAAAACGACTGTCCTAAGGGGTGTCGGGTTCAATTCCCGTCCGTTTCAAACTTTTTTGCTTTAAATGTTTCCAGGCATTTTATTGTTATGCAAATTTGAGTTATTGTTACAGGCAAAGGTATTGCTACAGGGATCTCGAAGGGGCGCGAGGCACGACGTTAGTCGTCACCTCGCGCCCCTTCGAGCTGTTAGTAATTAGTCGCGCCGAACGTCCCAGTATAAATGTCGGTGGTGCTTCGAAGGGTATCAGGGTTGGTTCCGATATTACTTTGAAGGATTAAGAGATAGGTCTCAGTATTGTTACAGGGTGGGACACCGAGGCCGTGGGGGCTCAGGAGGGGAGGGCCTTCGAGGGGCCTTTTAATTTAAGAGATCAAACTATGCATTAGTCTCAAAACCCAGCCAGAAGAACCCGCCTTTAGTCCGGTTTTTCGGCTGGTTTTTTAAATAAATTAAAATGTTAGGCTAGAAAAACGATTTGAAAAGTTGAAAGCTTTAAAGAATTGAAAATGCCAGTAATCTTTATATAAAAAAGCAGTGTCTGTCCAGTGTCGGCTCATGTTTTTATAATAATATTAACCAGTTCTACGGTATCAATACTTTAAACTTTTAAACTTGATTGTATAGCCAAACCTTGAGTTGCATTGTCTGCAAATAATCCAATCGAAGTCAGCACCAATGTTGAGAAGAAAATCGTTGCAGAAAAAAGAGTGGGTCTCATTTTGGGATTATTAAAGTTGATTGATTAATTGATTAGTTGATTGATTGATTATTAAAGGCAAAAAGAATGATTTGCTTTACGCATTTCTGCGTTTAAATAGAATCTGTTCATATTTTGAATGCGTCATCTCAACACTCATGCTCTCAAATCCCCTCATTGCAGAGGGATTTTGATGATTTCATAGCACTTTCATAGCACGATCAAATATTACTCATACAAAGTTTATTTCAAAAATTTCAAACCACAAACTAGCTTGATATGTTTGGCGAAAGATCAAGAATTAAATTTTGTCAAATCTAAATCAATTCGCTGTCAAAACAAAATCAATTCGCTGTCATTCTTTTTAAAATTTCCTGTAATTTCGCTAGAAATTCTTCATCTTTTTAAACGAAATATAGCTGGAATAGTCAAGGTTTAAACAACCTAAAAAGCTAATTTCATCTTTTAATACCCGATAAATTATTCATAAAAAGATTTACTTTAGTCATTTCTATAAATTTTATATCCTATTTAGACTCAATTAGATTATAAGTAAGTGCGAGAATTTTCGTTGAATCGATTCTTCATTTCTGAAGGTTCACGATTACTAAACTGTAGAACACTTTGACAAATCAAAAAAGAGATAATGTTGTGAAATGAAGCGCAATTTGGGGAAATCAATGATACAACTAAAACTTTGTTTTAAACTAAAAAAAAACTAAAACAAAAAACTAAACTAAAACAACTAAACTTACAACTAAAAACAACTATTTTTACTTTTGGCCAAATGGCCAAAATGGCCAAATTCGGCAAAAGTTACGGGATTTTAGTGTGGCTATTGCTTTTGACATTGTTTTTGGTGTCAAAAACATGATTTCCCAACACAACAATTGTTAAAACTATTGTTGAGCCTAAATAGGATAAAAATCTAAATCGTATATGAAATATAAAACTTCCACAAAAACTATATTACTACACTGAACTGCCGATAATTTGGTTCTGGTGAGAATCGAGCCTAATTCGCTCCTTTGTTTAAATTCTTTGTTTAAATGTTGTTGAAAACTTTATCAAATCACAAACAAGCATACAATTACCATTCATTAAACAAAGCAAACATTGTAGAAATTATTGAAAATTGAATTTGGTACAGAATTTGTAATCTTTTTATCCCCTTGGTCCTCTGCGATCCCAGTTGATCAAGCCAGGTTGAGTGGTGGTTTCCTTAGCTTCTTTCGCTTCTCTTTTTTCCACTCTTTTTGTCGCTACTGTAGTCGATTCAGTGTTTATCGTTTGATGATGGAAATCGTTGTCATCATGGAAACCATTATCATGATGTAAATCATTGTCATGATGGAAACCATTGTCATGATGTAAATCATTGTCATTCTTTGGGCTAACTGGTAGTTCTGTAGTTGTCGTTGTGGTCACAGTTCCAGTAAAAAGACCTGATGTAGTTCTTGACAAGTTCTTGTCAGTTCTTGTCAAGTTTTCAGCCATTTCAGTCGTTGTTAAAGTTTCCGTAAAAAGTTGACCACTGGAAGTTGACCACGTTGTTCTCGTTCTCGTAGTTCTCGAATTTTCAGCCATTTTCGGCGTCGTAGGCAAAGCATCGACTAAATTCGAAATATTTGTCGTCAACGCAAAAGTCGAATCGGATTTCGGCTTAAACTCGTGAAACTCTTGCACCGGAATGTCGTCTTCATAAAGATTATTGGTTGTAAAAGGACTGTCACTGGACGGGCCATCTCTCTTCGTTCTCGGTTTTTCCTCCATTTTATCTAATTCTATTTGGATGTTCTGTGATGCTTCTTCAGCAATTTTTGTCAAATGTTTTCCTATTTGCTCATCATCTTCTGAATCCGGTTCTTTTTGATCTCGTTTCAATCGTGCTTGTGAGCCATCGTTCCCATCACCGGAGAGCAGAACTGCTGCCTGAAATTTTGTTGGTATTAAGTATTAGGTATTAAGTTGGGGTAGGCTAGTTTTCGCAAACGACCCTTGCTCAACTCGCCATAACTTTCCTCTAAGTGGACCAATCTTTATGATTTTAGTTTCATTTTGTAGATCTCAATAAGTGCAACAAAATAAAAGCAAAATCATAAAGATTGGCCCACTTAGAAAGAAGTTATGGCGCACAGTAGGAAACCAAGGATCTAAAAGCAAATTTGGGAGTGCCTACTGTGCGCCATAACTTCTTTCTAAGTGGGCCAATATTTATGATTTTGCTTTTATTTTGTTGCACTTATTGAGATCTACAAGATGAAACCAAAATCATAAAGATTGGTTCACTTTAAAAAAAGTTATGGCGAGTTGCGCAAATGCGCAAATGACCCTGTCGCGCAAAAAAAGTTGCGGAAACTAGCCTACCCCATTAAGCTAACTAATATTAACTAATATAACTGTTAACTAATTTTAAAGTTAACCCAAGTTTGCGGATTAGAAATATCCAACTAAAGCCAAGAATCTAAAGCTAAAAGCCAGTATTGTTTGATGAGACAACTAGAAAAAGCCCAAGCCTTCCCGTTATACAAATTTCTTTCAAAAATCTCTGGAAACACAGAGTTGCCACTTTTCCATTAATGTCCCAAAATTTAAAATCAACACTTGAAAAATCTACCAAGTTCTGATTAGTTGGAGGCTTGGCTTCAAGATCAATTCCGCTTGGTGTGCAAAGACAGACGACTTTCGGGAGATTGCCCACATCAGGAAGACTTGATTTGGCAACACTTTTAATCTAAACTTTTAAGTGATTAAGTTTTTGGTAATTCCCTGCTTATTCACATACAATATTCTAATAAATTAAATATTCTAATAAAAAAGCCTCTATAGCAGCCTCTATAGCAGCCTAAGTTTACTGTCAAACAAACGCTCATATCTCAGCACCAGTACGTTTGTTTCTGAGCGCTTAAGTATCAAATTAAAGTAGTGTGGATGGGTGAATTTTTGAGTTATAAAACATATTTCTAGCTTTAATCAGCGCTTAGAAGAAAATGATTGAAAAATGATGAAAAATGATGAAAAATCGACCTTTTTGTCTGCCACTTTTCAATCATTTTGTTCTAAGCGCTGGTTAATGCTAAAATGATGTGTTGTAACTCAAAAAAAACACCCATTCTCTCTACTTTATTTTGATATTTAAGTGCGCAGAAACTACTGGTGCTGAGATATGAGCGTTTGTTTTGACAATAAACTTAGACTACGCGACGCTGCTATATATATATACTATCCGAGAAGGAAAAGTGACAATGCAAAAGATTGAACAGCGTAGACGAAAAAGAAATTGATATAAAACACAACTACAATTAGAACTGTATATGATATTAAAATAATTTAAAATTGACAGAGCTACAAGATCGAGCTATATATTGAGGTTAAAATGTTCAGAGAGAAAAATATCAAGGTAACTTATTCCAAATACGAGGACGAAAGAAAGAATGTAAGTTGGGGTTATGAGCTTTGAAGGGGGTACTGAAAGTTGTGACTACGAGTTCTTCTGGGTGTTGAACTTAAGGCCCTTAGTTCCGGATGAGGTTGGAGAGAATATGATTTTATAGCATAGACCAAATCAATAAATGCGGGTGGATGGGTTTAGGTAAGGGTGTGTGGGATTTCTTTCGATGGGAACAAGGGCATACCCCTCTACTGACGACGCTGAACGCTCTCACAGGATTAACTTTTGGGGCGGGGACCAAAGTGGGTATCGAGAGGGGGGTGGTGACTTTAGATAGTAGAATTGGGGAAGCGGGTATGGTTTGGTGGTTTTTGATCTTTATATGGTGTTGACTTTGGGGGAGTAAAAGATCTTTGTTGGGTGTGTGGCTGTGTGTTTCCTCTGGTTGGGGGTGTTATTTTATTTTCGACGGAATTAGGTATTTGTTTGGGCCTTTTTGATTAGAATATTTAATTGTGCGCTCCTACTCTTTTATATAGAATATATTAGGGTATCTGATTCAGTACCTCAATAGAGCCAGGCGGCGGGCGACTCCAAATCGTCTCACCATGAAGACTCGTTGATCCGTTTGCGTTAGAGGCGTTGAAGGTGACGATGGTCACTTCTCCGTTTTCACTCACCGAGTGATCTGTCTCCTGAAATAAAATCTTCTACAAAATCTTGGATCCCACTACTACTTGAATCAGCCGTAAATCCTCTATTAGAGCCTCATACCGCTCTATTTTTCAGTGCCATTTTTTGAAGTGGCCAAAAATCACATAAGGGTTGAAAAAAATTATTTTTGCTTAAATCACTCTAACTCGATTTCTTTTGGTCTAAAACATAAGAAAAACACATTTAAAACAAAAAGTTATGTCCATGGTTTTACCCACGCATGTCCGACGCTACAAAATTCCTGTGGTCCCCTCTTCTAATTTTTTGGTCAAAACATGGCCAAGAGAATGCTCGTACCGACAGACAGACGGATAGACAGACAGACAGACAGACGGACAGACGGACAGACGGACGGACGAACAGACAGTGCTGTTTTTTATACCGTAGATCCTCTATTAGGGCGGCATGCCGCTCTTGTTCGGTGCCCATTTTTAGAATCCCCAAAAATCACATAAGGGGGTACCACATGGTTGAAAAAAATTATTTTTGCTTAAATCACTCTAACTCGATTCCTTTTGGTCTAAAACATGCGAAAAACACATTTAGAACAAAAAGTTATGTCCATGGTTTTACCCCCGCCAACCCTCCAAAATCCCTGTGGTCCCCCTTCTGATTTTTTTCTCAAAAAATGTCCAGTCAAAATTTTTTCCAGGGTTGATTTGAATTTTACTGTCATAACTTTTAAATTATAATTAGAATCCATATGCATCATTTTAAGGACTTTTGGAGAAATTTTTCTTTGAAAAAGTAGATCTGTGAGCTGTCAAAATTAGCATCAGACATCAGCATCAGGTGCCGCTCTATTAGACGGTGCGATTCTAATGAAGAGTGCCGCTCTAATAGAGGATTTGCGGTAGAGTAGATACTAGACATGGAAAATCGGGGTCGGGGCGGATCGGGTTAACTCGATTGAAATTTTCGGGTTGACCCGACCTGACCCGACTCAATAGAAGCTGAGCCGATTCCCTTGATACCCGGCATCTTTTAGTAAAAATCGGGAGGTGCCGCTCTATTAGACGGTACCATTCTAATGGAGAGTGTACTCTAATAGAGGATTTACGGTATAATGTTACTAAACAAGAATGTTGGAATTTACCTGTCCAGGATTGGGTGAAGTGGTGGAGGTTTCTGGCGCAGAGCCGTACACCGAACATGATCTAGAAAAGAACCAAATTTGAATTCAATTTATAAAACAGGTAAGCTAATTACAGTCTTAAAATGTTAACTCTTCAATTTGAGTTAAGTTTTGATGACAAAAACTGTGTTTCTTTAGGTTTTCGTTAAGCTAACTAAAGGGAAGGATGTCTAAGAACTTGACTTAAACTGAGAGGACTTGAAAGTTATTATATTTAACATTTAAATATTAAATATTAAAACCCAAAACTTTCAAGAGGCTCCAAGCCTAATTTTCTAAAATATTCAGCTTCTAGGCAAGGCAATTTTCAAACTAGGTTACTAACTTTATAAGAAACTATGTTGCCTAACTGTCAAACCTGTCTACAGTGGAAAACAAGGGACAATCAGCTCCCGGTATTCCTTTCAGTGTCTCAAGTTCGATTCGACAATTCGCCGTTTGTGCCAATGTCGTGCAATCGTTGCTCAAAATAATCGAATCCGCTAAAAGAGCTTACATTGTTTCGACGAGAAACTTCTCAAACCTGCCAACAATTTAACAAATGTTAGTAGCCAGATCATAACTTAACGAGTGAAATTAAATCTTTTGGTCCAGCGTCCAAAAGCTTTCTGACTTGTTAACTACAAAAGAGTGTTTCTCTCGGTTGCCCGAACAACCATTTTCCACTCAAAAGTCAATTAACCGCATTTGGCAAAAAACCCGAGTGTAATTGTTAATCTCTTCTCGAAAAAAGTTGTTGATGGGGAGAAAGATTTCGCAAATTTGTGAACTTGTAAATGTATTTATGGGCAAATCAGAATATCCAAACAATACCGTAAATACCGTAAATCTTTTAATAAAACACTCTATTAGAAGACCTATTAGAAGAACAGCTCTATTAGAAGACCACCCGAAAATTTGATGAAGAAGGAAGGCTTGGTTTGACAAACTTGACAAAAACCCTCGTCGCGACACAGTTAGAATCAAGAGCACTAAACGATATACCGTATTTATTCCAATAAACGGGCATTCTCTATTAGAAGGACCACCCGTTGACCCCTCGAAATATCGACTTTTTGAAAGATTTTTCTAGCTAAAGTTGTAGATATAGGCTTTATTACGAAGTAAAACAAAGAGTATTGCATGAGATCAGCAAAAACCACCAGCAGAATCAATCAAACCAAGCCTCTAATACTGATGTCCTTATTTCCCAAATTTTCTTAAGGGCCGGATAATGGCAGCCGAAGTCATGTTGACGCTAGGCATAGAGGTACAACTATTTTTTACATGTAGAGCATAGAGCTACAACTATTTTTTACATCTACATGAGTACATGAGATCAGCAAAAACCACCAGCAGAATCAATGCATTCGATCAAATAAAACAACGCATCAAAATTTCAATCAGATATAACATAATGCTTCCAACGAGAACTGAGGTCGAGCTCATGAACATCTGAAAGTGATCAAGTGAGGGAGTGACGAAAATTTGATGAAGAAGGAAGGCTTGGTTTAACAAACTTGACAAAAACCCTCATCGCGACACAGTTAGAATCAAGAGCACTAAACGAGATACCGTATTTATTCCAATAAACGGGCATTCTTTATTAGAAGACCACCCGTTGACCCCTCGAAGTATCGACTTTTTGAAAAATCTTTCTATCTAAAGTTGTAGATATAGGCACAGATAGAAGTATTTTCTGCACAAAAATTTCACGTATTTTCTGATCACCCTGTATGTAAAGTAAAATCTTTGGATATTTTCAGGTTTGGAACATTTCCTTAAAACATCTTTCAAACTGATTTGTTGGTATTAAGTATTAGGCATTATGTTAACTAATATAACTGTTAACTAATGTTAACTAATGTTAACTAATATAACTGTTAACTAATGTTAAAGTTAACTCATGTTTGCGGATTAGAAATATCCAACTAAAGCCAAGAATCTAAAGCTAAAAGCGAATTTTGTTTGATAAGACAACTAGAAAAAACCCAAGTCTTCCCGTTATACAAGTTTCTTTCAAAAATCTCTGGAAACACACTTCTATTATGACATTTTTTATCGTAAAGAATGTTTTTTAATAAGTTGATTTCTATTAATATAGCTTTTGAACCTATGGGAAATATCTTTAGCACAAGTTTCGAATGATCGTTGCACAAAAATTTCACGCATTTTTTGGTCATCCTGTATGTAGAGTAAAATATTTGGATATCCAGGTTTGGAACATTTCCCTAAAACATCTTTCGAACTGGTTTCCTCTGTAGTTCTTGACTATTGTGTTGATCTGTAGGGCGAATAACTGCGTTGATCATGAGTTACTTTGGTTTAAGTCATTGAACTTGACTTAACTTTTATTGTTGTCAGCAATCCCGTTTATTTAGTAGCTCAAAATCAGTTTTTTCACTGTTCAAAAAGTAGGTAGCTAAATTCACAGTTTCAGCCTGATCAATTTTTATTTTTTTGGTATCAAAATGATCTTTGCACACGTCCACACAAAAGTTATCGGCTTTGAGGGCGCAATCTTTTGACCACGCTGAGAACGAGCCACCGAAAGTTGGTCGCAGCTAGTAAATTGATTGTAATTGATTGTAAAAGTGCGGCTTTTTCGATAAAACGCGATTTTAAAAAATCGAGTCCGACGGATTTCGATAATTTCTTCACCATTCGATTCAGCACAATTTTCTGCGTCGAATGGATATTCAAACGTGAAATTCTGATAGAGAGTTACTTTGGTTTAAGTCATTGAACTTGACTTAATTGTTGTCACTTTTATTGTTGTCAGCAATCCCGTTTATTTAGTAGCTCATAATCAGTTTTTTTTCACTGTAGTTAGCTGTAGCTGTAAGAAGTAGGTAGCTGAATTCACAGTTTCAGCCTAAAAATTGCTATTCCAGTTCGCGTATTTTTTCACAAATTCTTCAAACGTTGTGGGCCAAAGAACAAGACTTGAGTTATCTTTTCTATTTTTAAAGTTCATTCAAATTTGATCACAATTGATCAACACACTATTCATAGTCATTCAAAACTTCAAAACTTTCGCCGGGCTTACTTCAAAATTTTTCACAAACCACAAACCATTGTTGATCAAAAAAAAAGACTTGGACCAGATTTATACCGTATTTTCTGTAATAGTAGTGGGCACTACTATTTTTTCAATCCCCCTCTTGCCTGCACTACTATTACAGACTGCACTAGTATTATAGACTGCACTACTATTACAGATTGCACTACTATTACAGACTGCACTACTATTATAGACTGTACTAGTATTATAGACTGCATTACTATTATAGACTGCACTACTATTACAGAAAATACGGTATTTCCAATTTCTTCAAGTGCTCAGTTTTCTCTGAGCTTTTCTCTGAAAAAGTCTGGTCCTTAAATCCTACAACTTTACTCAAAAAAGTCAAGGTTTTCAGCAATCGAATTTCCAAAACTTCCCACAAACCCCTCAAACTATTGTCGATCAAAAGATGGGGATAGGGGAGGGCATGCCGAGTTGTGGAAAAGGGGCACTCTCGATGGTCGATCCTCTCTCCTCTTCTCTCTGCCGATATTTGCATACGAGTGTTCGGCTGGCACCAGGCGGTACCCCTACTAGACCCCGAGGCTTTTCCCTCCCCATCTCTCTCTTTCTCTGAACACCATTTCATTAGGCTTTTTCCCCTTTTCCTCTACACAAATATGAAGCGACCCGCGCGATAACAACAACCACCCCAACAACCAAAATTTTGCGAGTTCAAATTTGTTAAGGAAATTTTTGACTAAATGGTGAGATTTTGGGTGAAAAAGGAGAATGATAAGGAAATCGGTGTCACCAAAATTTAGAAATTCCTTGAGAGAACAAGGAAAACGTTTTTCTCAAGATTATCAAAGTCCATTTTGGTTCATTTTGGTTCATTTTATCCATTTTATGAAAAGAGCTATGAAAGCTACTATCGTTAGGATATTGGTCAACTACTGAGACCCAGAAACAACTTGGTGGATCAGTTTTGTTCTGAAAACAACTATAAGAATGAAGCTGGGGGTAAAACTGGGTAAAACTGGATAAAACTCCTCAAGAGATGCCCAGTAATGCTCATTTATTGTTTGCAAATGGTTTCTTGTACAGGATTTCCTGTAAGAATGCCTCTTTGATCCTGTAAGACAGCAGAAAACCTCTTGATCAGTCTAAAAACTTGAAGTAAACATTCAATTTCTGTAATTCGTATTTAAAATCTTTTCCAGATAGCAGATAAATAGCAGACAAATAGCAGAAAAATAGCAGATAAATCCCTGATTGAATGAACATCATAAATCCTTTCGAGTTTCCACAAATGTTTCGAGTTTCAGGTCCTTTGACTAATTCATAGAAAACTGTAATTGCTGCCAAACTTTACTGCCAAAAAACAACTGTAATTGCTGTCAAAATGTCAAACAACTGTAATTGCTGATCGAATCTAGTTTTCGAACAAAAAATTTCGCTTTTTTGATACTCCTAGTTTAAAAATTCACTGCGACTCAACTGGGAATCTACATCCAAAAATTTGCATATCAAATTTGACCTTCATAACGTGTTGCAGTTGTTTTTTTGGTCAAAACATGGCCAACAACACACTTGTTGCAAATCAAATAGGGATATACAATTAATATACAGTACTGGTCGATGAAATATCATATTTGAAAAAAGATCGTCACTTTCGCGCGTCTGTAACTCCCTTGTCTTTGAGTTTAAACTATTAGTGTTATGCATTTTCTGAAAGCTCTTTTCAAGGGCTACACAATGGTAATATTAATATTTAGAAATACGGTAAAGACAATGGAGTTACAGACGCGCGAAAGTGCGAAAGTGTTTTTTCAAATATGATATTTCATTGTCCAGTAGTGTACATTCATAAATTAGAATTGTGAATGTATTGTGAATCCCAGTTGAGCCCTTATCGATGTAGAACTCATGTACCCTTTTTAAATCCTCTTTCAATTCCACTTCAATTCATCATATTCCCTAGAATCCCCGTTGTTTCTAATTATAAACCTAGGCAACGCGGAAAACGAAAATATTTGCCCTAAAAAGGTGGGTGTCTTTCCGTACCATTTCCCCAAAAATACTCTCCGATTTTCATCTCTAGAAAAGAGAGATTGTTTTGGTACAGTGGCTGTGTTTGCGGGAAAGGTTCGCGGAGATTCGAAAGAAGAAAATGGAGGAGAGAAGAAAGAAGAGAGGAGAAAACGTCGACCTTTTTTCTCGCAAAAGATTCACGAAAAATAGAGGCAATGAGATTGGTTGATCAAGAGATTTAGATAAAGAAAGGGTTCTGTGAAGTCAAATTTTGTGAGAAAATATGAAGCAATGGTAAGAGATTTGGGAGAAACCCAAAGAAATGTAAATATCGAAGGTGATCAAGAGTTCTAGATGGTACAAGAGGCAAGATATAAGGCTTTTCTAGAGATTTAGATACCCTTTTGACCCCTGGAGAGTTCAGGGATACGATAGAGATCCCGACAGCCCAGCGATCTAGAGTACCCGAGAGATTGAGAGATCCAGGAGAGATTGAGACTACGGTGGAGATCTAGAGAGGTCAGAGTACTCTTTCCCTGG